GCATGGATTTAATATGAATCGTTCCGTGCCGAGCATGCGCGTTTCCTGTCGCTTGCTCGGTGAATCGTGCATTTTACTTTTTATCCTTAGAAAAGGTTTAAGATAACATTCCTGAAAGCAGGCTGACAGTGATACAAACTACTAGAAATAATACATGTTTACATACAGTATGTATTGAATCAAATACAATGCATATGAAGCAATGAGAGGATTAATTATTATATTTTATAATTCTTCTATAGTTGTTGTAATTCTTAATTATTTTGCTTTGTTTTAAAATATACATCAGACAAACATTTAAAGTTTATTTCTAAATTAACTAGAACTAGTTACTAGAAAAGACTTTTTAGAAAACAGTTACTAGTTATTTAATTCAAATAATTAACTTAGTTGCTTTGTTGATTACTTAAACTAAAAACAAAAACAAAAAAATACTGTTAAAATGAACTTCTTAATTTATTTTTACAATAAAAATGAAAAAGTTTAAATTTAGTAAAATACTATAAGTATACAAATACAAACTCAAACAAAAAGCTGGGTTTTATTTACTAAAAGGTTCTCAATACTGTAGCAGTTATTTCCTCTGTCCATGGTCCTGACTTTTGTGTATGCGGGAATGATTTTTGAACAAACTGATATTATAAGATTGTTTTTGGGTGAAGGATGAGTGGCAGGTTGAACTCCTGTTATTTGTTTGCTAATTTTATGTGTTGAAAAGTGTTATGGATTTAATATGAATCGTTCCGTGCCGAAGGGAAACTCGGTCTTGGAATTTTTGGCCCCTCAACTGAACTATTTGAACTGCTGCTCAAAATAACATCATCTGTATTAACATTACCTAATGTCACACTATTTAGATGCTTCTCTTCCCTGAAAATGAATTAAAACCTAATATCTCATTAATTTAGCTCTTAATTGAGCACATAGAGCACACAGAAACATGTTGTCATAAAATCAGGGCCTCCTTCAATATGAAAGAAAAAATCCAAAGATCAAAATAAAAGATCCGCTGTTCAGAAGGAGAGCACATCAAAAGCGCTACACACACTTCAAAGACATGACAGAATTGGATCCCCTTCGTTTCCTCACATTTATTATGTAACGTGTGATTTTTAACTCTCCAGCCAATGTTGTAAGACAGAAAACACAGAGCTGTTTTTTCTCCTCACCTCTCACTGCAACAGGCCATTCTATTATGTTTGTTTCTGAGGATGATCTTTAAATCTAGAGCTTGTTCATCTTAAAAAGTAAGAGCCCAACTTGCACTGTCAAAAGCCCGGTTTGTAGATATATGCACATGTCCACGAAGCGACTGATTTTTTTGTTCTTCCATTAATCATAAAACGAGCTTTATGAGCCCTACAACTCTTGGCCATGTCCGCACCGGGGAAAAACTGCAGTACACACTGAGAAGATCCGTCTGCACTAAAGGTCAGCAAATGAAAAGTAGTTCTGTTGTGCCAGAGTAGTTGGCTTACAGTGATGTATGTGGTGGAGCAAATAACCTAATTATTGATATTATTCATCACATGAACTGTAAAAACATTGATCGGAAGTAGCATGCCCTCTTTAAAACACTGTTCTTGTGCAGACCTTGATAAATCTATTTTAAATCTATCGACATAAATCCCCTCCCTAGTTTTTTTTTCTTTTCTTACAGACTTCTAGGTCCACCAGAACAAAATACGTCCCACCTGACCAATAAAGTCTGTCTCTACATTTAATTCCCTTATTTCCAGAAGTCCCCTCTATTGTTTTATGTATTATTGCTCCCAATATAGCGATCAGTTACTCCTCTTCGATCCCTTTTACTTCCTCTTCATCTCTGTCTCAGCAGCCGTGCTCCAGCTCCCTCTTTTGCCTCTTCAGACTCTGTGTCCTACTTCTGCAGTTACAGTTCAGGCACAATCACGCTCAGGGAGCCTGGACCTGTGAGGGGTGTGAAATTCACAATTTCACGTCGACAGTTTTTGCTTCTTTTTATGATTGAAACTCTCTTGGGGGTCTCAGTGATGCAATGACGCTATCCAGCTCACTCTTATGGATACATAGTTATTTTTTTATTCAGATCACATCTTGTATTATTCTAGAACCTTAGATTTAATATGGAGTAAGAGTTTTTTATAACATATAGAGCAAATGGTTTCATTTGTTAAAGGAATAGTACACCCAAAACATGATTAGCCTTCATTTTCTACTCACCCCCATGCTGAACAACACTCTGGAGTACTTTTTTGATATCTCA